CGCGCCCGGGGCGCCCCCACGCTCTGCCCACTCGGGGTGCGCCCCTCCGCCGGTCCAGCCGCCCGGCATCGTCCGCTCGCTGGAGCGCAGCGTCACCCAAGCCCTTCTTCCCTCAGGACGCGTCCGGCGCGCTCCGGCAGGTGGGAATGTTCACCTTAGTTAAGGCCCAGACAGCTCGGGGTTTTAGCAGCAACTTCACGTAACTGAAAGCAGGTAGGAAATACGCGTTAGAAACACCGTTGTTTCTTCAGAGACTTCCACACAGTGTTCCATAGAGTTTTACCTACCGTACATCATCACTGAGCTCAAAGGGGGGGAGCAGTGGGGGACCGGGAGGGAAGAACCTCTTCTGGGATGGCTGGGGCTTCTATGCTTTCTCTCCAGAAAGCCTGACACTCACAGAAGAAGCAGAAACTGCTCTTTGGTAGTCTAGTTCAGAGAACTGAAATGACATGAGAGCATTCCCTCATTTTTTTTTTTTTTTTTTAAAGATTTATTTATTTACGTACACAGAACTGGGGTACAGGCCAGAGGTGCAGGGACAGTGAGAGGATTCACCAGAGACAGAGTGGGGGGCAGAACAGGCAGATCCATGAGGTACACTGCTGAGGGGAGCAGCGGGCGGGTCAGGAGAGGTCTGCCACACCATGTGGTCACCTCCGGGACAGGCGGGAATCGAACTCATGCGGAAGCGGCTTTAGATTCTCAGTGCTGTGCTTTAACCCGCTGCGCCACCAGGGAGGGCCCGCATTCCCTCATTTTTTAAGTGTCTTTTACTTTTGTCAATTAAGACAGTCTTCATCCCACCAGTAGACACCAGAACAAAAGTTCCAACTGAAAAACCAGCGGAAGGTTGGAAAAAGAAAATATTGAAGGGAGGGACGAGCCTGAATGAGACATGCCATCTTGGGCCAGAGTAGCTAAGTATTAAGGGCCAGCCCTGGATTTAGGGTGGGAGAATTTTTAGGAATTAGAACTTTCTCTACAGCCACGGAGTCAGATATACAATGATGCTGAAGTGTGACTAAGAGGTTATTTCACTGCCTCAGCTGAAAAAAAGGAGCCGTTCTGCAGCTACAGAAAGGAGATGGAGAGGCTTGGGGTTCTTTTCTTCCCTTCCAGAGTATGAAAGTTGGTCGGAGTGGAGGAGTTTTGCCT